GGAGGCTGGTCCCAGGTGGGACCAGTCCATCCTGAAATGATGGAACTTTATACTGACCCCTCTGCAGAACTTCAAGACCTGCCCCGAGAAGTCTTTGCTGTTGATCCAACCAGTCTATGTCAAACTCCAAACACAGAGGTTCTCTACAGGTGCAGGAAATGCAGGTACTGAACCTTTTTTACATCCCCATTAAATGTCATTTTGAAATTGACTCAAGAGGAAAATAGCCTGTGTAAATCAATGGGCATGTTATTATTGTCAGGACAGGGATGAGCTCTTCCCTAAGTTTCCATACAGTGTATGCCACAGAAAATTAGCCAAATGAAAATATCTTATGAAATACAAAACTTTTGTTCCTTGAAGCTGTGCAGCACTTGTGCAGCCTCACCTGCCGTGTTCTATAGGCAGGTCTAGTTCCACTTGGCTCTGTGAAGTTGCTTGCTCTGAAACCATAACTTCTAGTTTGTCTTTGACAATCAGTTTCTCTGGAATAAACGTGTAGATTTTGGGGTTTACTGCATTTTAACTACCTTTTATGGATTGCTTAAAGTGAAATTTAATAATCCTGCTATTTCCTAGGTGTAGGTTTCTTCAAGTACATGAGTGTACGTTTAAAGTTTTAGTAGGCAGGAGTTGTGTAAAAACAGATCTATATAAAAGACAGCATACAGCTGTGGGGCAGAGCCCAAAACTACACAAATCACCAGATTTGTTAAGAAGCAACCCTGAACGGAGTCAGTGCCTGCTGACCTCCTAGACTAAATTAAAAAAATATAGGATTTGTAATCCTGCTTAATTACTTACTGTCAAGAGCTCCATGTTTTCTATCGTCTGTAGCTTTCCCCAGTAAAAACCCACCTATTTTACTTCTTTTTCCCCCTCTGTTGTGGAGGGCAGGCGCGCTCTGTTCCGTAGTTCCAGCATTTTGTCCCATGCGGAAGGAAGCGGACCAACAGCCTTTGCCCACAAGAGGATAACGGACTCCGCTCAGCTTTGCAGCAATGGCCGTGAAAAGTGTACCTCTTACTTCACTGAGCCCGTGCAGTGGATGGAGCCAGCGTTACTTGGAGTAATGGATGGACAGGTGAAGGGGAGCATGCGCCTTATTTTTCGGATGTTCTGCCATTTTTTTGCAAAGGCAGAACAAACTGTTCTGTTCCCTGATGTGAAAGTCCCCACACAGGACCTAGGTCTCCCAGCCTTTCTTGTGTGAATTTTGCAGCATATGAACAGATTTCTAAATGTTAAATATCCTTTCAGAAGGAAACGAGCTGGTCTTGTTGGACTGAGCACACTAAACAGAGTGTTGGACAAGGTTTATCTGCTGTTAGTTTTTATTATGAGAAAGAGTTTGTGCAACTTAGAAAACCTGTTGTGGTCTCAGGCTGACTGAGGCTTTCTGGGGTCTAGGAGGCTGGAAAAATGGTCCTGGAACCACACTGGGTTCGAGCAGCTGCATTTCCACTCCCTCCCTTCTGCCAGCACAGTTGCCTGCTACACCCCAGGGCATGGCAAACACCAGCCATGCCAGTTTAGCTTTTTTGCCTGTTTTTCAGCCCATTTACCTCTTGTGAAGTGTTACAAGGAAAGGAGCTGGCTCAGTGCAGGTTGTCACAATTTTGTGTATCACAGAAGTAAATTTTAAGTAGAAGTACCTCTGCATGTGCCTGAGAGCGGGTCATGTGTTTTTCTTGCAGCTTCTGTGTCCCAAATGCACGTCGAAGCTGGGCTCCTTCAGCTGGCGGGGTGAGCAGTGTTCCTGTGGCCGGTGGGTGACACCTGCCTTCCAGATTCACAAAAGTCGAGTGGATGAAGTGCAGACACTGCCAGTTGGTAACCTGCAAGCTGCTAAAACCTGAACTCATCCCTTCCCTTGATGAATTTCTTAATGTCCACAGAGAACTGCTGGATAGTCTGTGGTTGCCAGGAGTGAGCTTGTGACTTCCATCCCTTTGTAATGCAGTGGAATTACTTGAACATCTGCTCTATTTAAGCTTTCTGTGTCTCCAATATATATAAACAGCAAACACTTCCTTCAAAGAGGTGTTCTACACTGGTCAAGTATGTACAAAAATTCCTGAATGTGAGGTTTTTACTATATTCTCACTTGATCTGTTGCTATTTCCAGAAGGTCTCAAGATTCCTTATTTAAAATAATTGCTAACGTGTTACTTTCAGGCTGTGGCCAGCAGTGCTGCT